TAAATCTATAATTAGTGGCATTTTTGTAAATAGACACCTCTAAATGGCATTTTTGCAAATGTGCACATAAAAGTGACATTTTTATAATTACCCCTATTTTTTTCACTATATTCTATTTGTAAATTATCTCGATTTACATGTATTACCTTAGTTCGTTTTCAGAGAAAAATACTTCTTTTTTTTTCCCTATCAAGATATCAAGTCTATAAAGTTTTGAATGATGAAAATATCAAACAAAAGCTTTGTTATATAACTCATTTTGCTTTTCTAGTATACTGAAATCACACTCCACAAGACAAAATCTTCCACAAAGATGCACAAACATTATACAATAAACGCGTCGTTGAGGACACATTGATCACCAAGATCTGTTCTTCAAAACATCTATCGGTCGCAGCAAAAACTCGAACGAGACTAAGCGAAGAGAGTGGAAATGTTAAAGAGTGGGTTCTATTACTTGACAGGGACACAGTAGGAAGAACTGAGAAGTGGAGGCAAGACACAGACTAAGTGAGGACCCGGTGGATTGCTGCTTACATTTGCTTCTTCTACGTTTGGCAAACCGAGTTGAGGAGGACGCACATAACCCGCAACTAACGGGACACATAGTATCGAGATTACTACTCTTGAACCTGTAATATTATAACCAGCCAACAAAAGAAAGAACATATAATCATTTGTTTGCAAAAGTGTTTATAACAACAAAACAAGAGAGTAGAAGGAAAGATTACTTACCTTGCTCCTCTGAGAGAGATACGTGGCCTCTCTTCCTGCCTGCAATCATCCAATTCTCCGAATTTGCATTGACTTCATATAGCACCTCATCCTTGTGTAAATAAAACCAACAGTTGATGAACATGTTGTAATGATGAAGATAGCAATCAAAAACTCCTACGGAAAAGCCTATTTCCGACTTACATGTTGTTGTTCTACGGCCTCACTTTCCTTGAGATCTTTAAGCCTTTCGACTCTCCACTGCATGGTAATAAGTTTCCCGACCCTAAGACCATCAGAAGGAAGTGGAAGAAATCCAACCGTAAGGCAAGGATCAAGCACTGGACGCTGCAAAACAATAGCACTCTTGAACACCAAATCTCTCCTTTCTGTTTCAGTTCCAGAGTGATCTGCATCCACCGGTTTGTGTGCACCAGCGGCTCTATCACCATGGATTTCATATTTGATATTCAGAATGCTCTCTGGTAACTGCAAATCTTTCCCTTATGTTGTGCAAACAAATTAGTTAGTTCGCAGTTAATACAACTGTTTATTCTTTTTTTCTTTCTGTTTCAGCATGCAAGTGCCATTGTATGCTAATAGCCAATGCATCAATGAGTTATGGAGGAAAAGAACAAGTCAGATTTTCAAGAGTTTTGACACGTTCTACAAGTAGATCTTACTATTCTATGTTACATTATCCTTATAACACTTTCTTGCCAAATCAGTAATACTACGGGCACTGTTCTGAAATCAGATAGAGCTTTCAAGTTGTAGATTGCGTTTATCAGTTTACGAGTGTTTAACAAAAAGTAGAATCTAAGTAAGAAACCGAGTCATATTAACAGTTATTTGGAAGAATAGTAATACCTGAAGACATCGTCTTCTCTAGGCATATACTGAACACAACTGCTGCTCTAGATCCCGGAGACACAACAAGCGGAAAGAACGTTGAAGTCGGTCTTCCATCAGTTTGTCCATGAACAAATCCATCTTGGAGATCAAGCCAAGCATCAAGAACTATCAAGTTGGCCTTGACAAGGGAGTGTAGCATTACCTGTACACAGGAATTACTTGATTAATAATTTTGAGTGGACGTGAAGAAAAACGAGGGAACTGAGAGGTTAAGGAAAACATTATTTTCCTTTTAAATGAAGTAAACTAGGCTACCTGCAAGACCAATGTGCCATCATTGCATTTGTTTGCCACCCTCGTGGTCACGTCAAAAGGGTCGGTAAAATGTGCAGCTATGGTTCTGCTCGCATAAGAAAATCAGAGGGAAATGTGATGAGGACAATAACTGTTTGGCGGCCAAACCTCCGATGTGGAACAAAGATGATCAAGATTTGCCATGACAAGGAAGATATACAATACCTCTCAAATATCTGGTTATGATGCACCCCAAATTCAAGTTTCAAAGCTACAGTTCTCATTCCTTCTAAAATATCTTGTTTCAGCGGGTTGACTGTTTAACGTAAAAGAAATTTGATCATTGGCTAGTAGATGTGACAAGAGACAATGTAATAATCACAAATTTATTTTTACTGCAAACCTGAAGATGACCCTCTAGCAATCTTCTCACTCAATGCACGAACGGGGACCCACAGAATAGAACTCACATTGCTCGCCCACTCTGAGAACACTATTTTTCCATCGCAGAGATTCAGCACCTCTGAGTCTCGTTTTGGAGAGACAGGGCTATCTTCTACAGAAACTTCAGCTTTTGATGCACCAGTATCACAATCTGTTTCCGTGTATCTCTCCATCTCAATGCCATATGTGTCTTCAATCTTTAGCCCTGGACCAGTATCAATGTGCAAGATGGCGCCTTTCAGTGAGTAAGCAATAGGACGTACTATGACACCAATCCACTGGGCTTCATTTATTAGCAGCGCAGAAGATACAGCTGCGGCAAGATCAACCAGAGCTCTTGGTTTGGAAACCTATAGAATAAGATGTATATCATATCAGTTAAGGAAACAAATGTCCATAAGAGCATCACCACTCATGCATGTAATTAATGATTTTTCTACCGTTCCACAAGCGGTAATTAATTTCTTAAAATTGGGAGATCGTGTACCTTCAGGATAGGTCTGGTTGGCTTTTCATAACTCATGAAGTCATCACTGTCTGCAGGGCCACCCTTCGAAAAACTGTGAGACCTGAATCTCAAGCGCCCTATCTGGCCAGTAACGACTCCCAAGACATAGGAACCGGGTTTTTGTGGAGGCAAAGCAAAAGTGATAATATTCTTTCCGGGCTTTAGCACAGTTGCAGCGGAACTCTTCAAAGCCTGAAACCCAATTCATATACATAATTCTTAATAACGTTAATTCGATAGAAGAAAAGGACGAGAACGTTCATGTCAAATGGAGGCAAACCTGGCCACCTTCGTCAGTGTTGTTGGTGGCTACCAAGGTAAGGCTAAGTGAATCAAGGGTGATATCATCAGGAAAACCACTCCACACAGTAACAGATAGATTGCCAGGGTCTCCATCACACAACTGAAGTGGAGGACCAGTATTTCCGGAAAATGTGATCAATGATGACACATCTAAGGGAACTGGGTTCTTCATTTCACTGTGTGCAAGATTAACAACCTCGGCCTGAAAAGCTTGCCGCTCCTTGGACGAGAATAAACCCTTATCCAACGAAAGTAGTCTAACACAAGATGACATGTACCCAGCTTGATCATTAAGAATCTTTTGACACTCAGCTAAATTGGGTAAAACTTCTGCCAGTAAATCTTGCCATCCTTCACCCGCATAAAGGGCACAAACTTTTTCATAAGAGTTTGCAGCCAAATCATATTTTCCGTGCTTGAAGCAGACAGCTGCAATTTCACCATCAAGAACGACTCCATGTCTCTTCCACCAAGAACGGTGATAGTTTTCAGCAGCACCTTTGGTTAGATTAAGATATTTATGCTGTCACAACAAAATTTCTAAATTAGAAGCTAGTAAAAAGAGAAGCATAAAAATCAGGTGCTTCACTGTTCTTATGTAAATGACAAGCACATTTGAAATTCCCAGTTATGCTACCTCGAAATCCTGAACAGATGACAATGTCTTCAACAAATCATGATCTGAAATGGTAAGTCTCAGAGCGTGCTCAGCTGCAACAAAAATTTCAGCAAGCCTCATAGGCCTATCTAGCGGACTCTCAAAATTTCCAGGT